CCCCAAAACCCCAAAACCCCAAAACCCCAAAACCCCAAAACCCCATTTGTTCGGTTTTAAATTGGGATAGAATAATTATTCAATAGATTTGAACTTCACCTTGCCGTCAAAATTAATCACTTTCTTGCCTACTTCCTCATCTGTCTGACTGCTTTCATCTGAATCACTGACCGCTAACTGGAAACTATTTCTCTTAGTTCGAACTATTTTGCCTCTTTTAAAAGAATTGCCTCTGCTTCTTCTGTTGCTGGGTGAAATGGCTCCGGGAATTCCACTATTAATAGAGTACTTCTGCCCAACCATGCTATTCTCAGCTTCGCTATCGCTTGACATAGAGTTTCTCAGAAAGACCTCATCAATTTCTCCGATTTCAAAGAGCTCCTTCCTTCTCTGATCGACTGAGATTTTTCCTTCCTGGATCCTAGACTCAGTTTCTAGCTTATCAAAAGAAAATTGGTTGAGCCCGAGACAATTGAATAGTTTACTCCAGATATCAAACACGTTCATCACAAAGAACAGGACTAGTACAACAGGGAAGAAGTAAAGGTTCATCCATCTGCCAAGAATTGTGAAATCATCCAGAATAGTTAGTACGACACTATATGCAGTGTTCTTTGCTCGTACTAGGGTGATAAAGTTGTAGCTCATTGGGTAGATCATCCTTGCCAACATTGTCCCACTCCAGATCATTGATACCGGATCAGAGTGGTTTTTGTATAGTTCATACCAACTAGCAAGCTTTACACTGAAGAACCCGAAATAAATGCAGGCAAGCATGTATGATAGAGGGATAAATAGTAATATAAATGTAGTAGCGAAGTTAAAGTTTCCATTCACTATCCAGCTAAATGTCGATATATCGATCTTGATGAAATTAGTCAACTCTGTGTAAAGGAGAACAATAGAAAAGATCGCACACATTAGTCAAAATATTTTCAGAACTATGGGATGGCCATAGATGAAATAAAAGTATTTGAACTTCCGACATCCTGTCAAACCTTTCCTCCTCAAACTAGGTGAATTCTTTGCATTTATATAAGATTGTAAAGTCATAACTTCTCTCATGTTAAACTCAAGCATTGCATGAATTCTCTCGTAATCTCCAAATTCTATTTTATATTTTGATCTATAACTTTCAAGTTTTGGGAGAGTGACATCACATGTATCGATGTTACCTCCTGTAGAGCCATCTCCAGCATCAGCAATGCCTTCATAAGTGCTACATTCTTCTTCAAATTGAGGATTCCTTTCCTTAAATTCTTGGATTTCATCTTTAATGATTAACAAATATGGTTGCATGTCAGACCCTCCACTAAGGTTCTCAAGAGCTCTAATATTCTTAGTCAAGTCAATCCTCAATTCTGTCAATTTCTCTTCAATGATACTCACTTGGCATAACTTGTGGCTGACTTGTCCCTGGTAATCGCTTCTTTGCCAGAGAGATTTTGGGAGAGCCACCATTCCGTAAGACATTAGGAATACTATTAGTAAAAGTCCGTACACAGTTATGAGCACATAAACAACATCAAATAAGGATACCTTGTCTTTGTTCTCTCTGTTTCTATTGACAAGGAAGTAAATAGCCAGCAGGAGAGCTACAACAGCTATAATGAAGATAATATAGCTGATAAGGTTCGCAAGAAGGGTCTTCAAGATCCTTTTTCATCTTGAAAATTCTCCTCTAACTACGTAGACCATCTGCAGAGGAAAAATGACCCAAGTGAGCGAAGAAGTTACCCAATAGAGTATTTTCCAGTTCCATTTCGTGAACTCTCGGATAAATTTCATGTCCTCAGTGACATTGTTAGGGTCATAGTTCGAGGAAGTGTATATATCGAATGGCAAGGTTGCCACGATAATGAATCCAAGCAGCCAACCTACGTATACAGTAATATAGACAGAGATGGGTGCTTGCTTTCTCATATATCTCAGTTCTAGAAGAAGTGTCAGGATAGCAATAACAGCTATCTGGATCATGTAGACCCAAAAAGAAGCTTCCATTTTAATATATTAGTTTCTTCAATTTGTTAAAACTTATTCGGGGTTTTGGGGTTTTGGGGTTTTGGGGTTTTGGGG